TGAAACGAAGAACGAAGTATAAACTTTTATTGATCTGAAACTTGATATTGTTACATCGTGTTACATGGGTTATATACTAAGACAAAACACAACTAAGAGTTGTGTCTCTTCATTGTGACTCTTAAACGACACAACACATCCTAACCTAAGAGACATGACAGTTAAGGAATGAACATAACCTAAACTCAATTATCAACCAACACTCCCTCTTAATTGAGTTTTGGTCTTGTTCCATGCTTCTTCCTTTGTTCCTTGAACTTCAATTAAATCCCCAATTTCGATATAGAGATTTTAACCGCTCTCTTCTTCTTCGCTTCTTGTGATTTGCATATTCTCTGATCAAATCCCTTTAACGATGATGGCATAGTTCACTGCCTTCTTTGTTTCCCTCTTGATGGGATGACACTCCCTGTTGATTGGATGCCTCACTCCCTTGCCTTTCTTTTACCCGAGAGGATTCTCCATGTCTTTTTCAAATCACTTGTGGGCTCTTCTCACGTTTTCTTGACGTCTCATGACGTGAAATCTTCTTCACATCTTCTTTGGTTTTCTCTCTAACCAAACTATGCTCCCTTTTCTTTCTTAGGTAAGCAACCTTCTTTCTTGCTTGGTATCATCTTTGAAAACCACCAACATCCTTGACGTCTCGTGCATGAATCTCTCTCCACGTCTTCTTCGGTTAACTCTTCAACCGACTTGTGCTCCATTTTTCTCCGAGGTACGCATCCTCTTTGTGCTCCATTTTTCTCTGAGGTAAGCATCCTCTTTTCTTGCTTGTGATTTCCTTTGATCACCATCAACGTCCTTGACATCTCCACGTCTTTTTCGGTAACTCTTCAACCGATTTGTGCTCCATTTTTCTCCGAGGTAAGCATCCTCTGGTGCTCTATTTTTCTCCGAGGTAAGCATCATCAACGTCTCATTGACGTTAACGTGACTCTTCTTCATGTCTCCGGTACCGCCTCCATGTGTGGATCTCATTATCCACCATGTTCTCCGGCTAGTCTGTGTAACCGTTTTATGCGTGAATCTCATTATCCACGTCTTTTTGGTTATTGTGTAACCGCTTCAATGCGCCTCTCTCTGTTTCTCTCAAACAGGCGGCTTCTCCATCAAGTTTCAGAACTCTCCTTCCGTAATTCCGATTCCACATCCGCTTTCTCCATAGCATTTGAGAAGATCTCTTATCTCCTCCATCTTTATTGGAGCTTCTTCTTTAGGTACGGCATGTGGATACGTTTATGAAGGTTCATGGTGTCTCTATCTTGTCACGTCTTTCTTTTCTATTCTTCTTCTTCTTCTTCTTCTCTCTGGTTAGTCTGCATCTTTCTCTTCTTCTTGCAGCGGAATTCTTCTTATTCTTATTGTGCTTGAACAGGTTCCATGACCAACATAAGCTCTGATACCATATTGAATTTTAGATTACGAAACAGAGTAAGAGTAAAAAGAAGACAAAACAGAGCAAGAGATAACTCATCTCTTCTCTTATGAAAAATAAACTAAGAACGAAGTATAAACTTTTATTGATCTAAAACTTAATATTATTACATCGTGTTACATGGGTTATATAGTAAGACAAAACACACTCTTAAACGACACAACACATCCTAACCTAAAAGACACGACGGTTAAGTAATGAACATAACCTAAACTCAATTATCAACCAACAAAACACAACCCAAGAAAAATTTCTACGCCACTGTTATACAATTGAGAGATCCAACAATTATCAACACTCAGGATTCAGGAAAGGCTTGAGTCCAGTAAACCCAATAAACATTATCTAAGCACAGAGTCACGTAAAACTATTAGCACAACATACCAAACTATTAATAGGAAGATTAAATATACCAGAATGGCAGAATATAGTACCTTTATGCATACCTTCGTTTTCTTATTACCAAGTATGCGCGGATGCGCCCACCGTCACAGCGTTGTGATGTAGAAGATCACGATCTGCCGTTTGTGTTCTCAAATCAAGGGGAAAGTGATAAAATTTAAGGAGGAAGAGAAAACAAACTATCACGATCTATCATTATTCCTTTGTTGACCAATTAGATAACAATCACCATGTCCTTTCAAATAAACATCTACGTTTGCTAGATTATGGCTTCTACGGAGTTTGGTGGCGAAGAAGAAAAAAAGACGTGGTTGATTTTGTATACCACCTATGATTTTATATTTATATATAGAGATTTATGTCTAGATTTTAGGTTTTTTTTTAGGTTTCTATTTTAATGATATGATATATTCGTTTCTTTTTTTATGATTATTATCGTAAAATATCTTAATTAAAAATATAAATTATGATATTAAAAAAAAATGAAATTCAGAAGATTTAATAATAGATTTTCATTAAGGGTATGTGGGTAATCAACCAGCTGAGAGTTAACGTGGTGGCTCTAAACGAAATTTTCACTTCGCAAATAATATATTAGATTTCGACCTAGCTTCAACCATCAGCTCGAATTCCAACTCCGACGGGTTTTTCCCTCCTCGCATCCTCCCCAACGCCGACAAAACCAGCACAATCTCCGCCACTCTGTTCATCTCGTCGCAAAATCGTTGCTTTTTCGCAGGAGGAGCCATCGTTTCTTCTCCGTTTTCGTTAACCAAAGATTCAAGATTCATCGGAACACTACTAGCCGCCACCACAACCATGGAAAAATCAGAGAGAGCACAAGAGGACCGGAGAGAGAGATAGTGAGAGAAACCCTATAAGAAGGAGGGAGGGAGAGAGATCTCCATGGTCAGAGCAGAGGATGGTTTAAAAACAATTTGAAAACAGTGCCAGAAACAAAGAACCCTTATTTTCGCGGGTAAATTTAGGACTCAGTGAGTTAGATTGCACGAGCTGATACCCAATCCAATCACACCAAGCAGAAGACAGAGATTGTTAGAGAGAGAGAGAGAGAGATACACGACTTCTTTTTTGGGAACCTTGCTCAGAAGGTGGGTTTTAAGTTTCTATTTAACTATTTGGCGGAAACGAGTTTGAATTGGCAAAATAGGTGGTTCACTGTTGGGCCCTTCGCAATGGCCCCGACCAATTGTCCGAAATTACCAAGTATGCCACTCCATCACAAACATGAAAATAATTAATTAAACAGAACTCAGGGTCTGGGGCCCATGGAACCCCACCTGTGCCAGACTACACCCATTGAACCACGGCGTCCGAGGGAATTTTCGACCGGAACCGGTCTGAGAGTGAGACCGGTTTGCGTATTATGGTTTACCCGGTCCGGATTGTGAAGGGCCAACGCCGGTTCGGTCAAGGTGGGTTAAGCGGTTGGCTTGGTATTTTGAAGACCGACTTATAGCATCGTCTTCTCCGTTTGAAATCATAAATGCGAAAACGATTAACTGAAGTTTGCAACCGTAATCGTCTAACATTCTCAGTAGGACATTAATCGTCGGGAGTTTGCAAGATCTAGATGGGAAGAAAGAGGAAGATGGCCTGGCCCCAACATCGCCGGCGCCGGTGGCGAGAAACCTTCGGAGTAACACACGGATCGAGGAATCGGGCGCGGTCACCGCCGTCTCGCAAGTGGAAAACCAAGGTCAGAGCTTCGGATAAACCCTACGATTGTCAAATTAAAGGTAGATAGGGTGACTTAGTGCCCACCTTCTGCTTGCAATTATCAATAGGGTGGTTTATGATTAGGATTTAGCAAAGGGAAGATTAAAGTCTTCATTTTGACCGATTAGCGGAACCATATAGGGGGGGTTCGGATTTGATTAGCAAAATAGATAAAATCCCAAGATCTGAATGCATTGGTTACTTTATTAAAGATTCGGTTTCAATCGTATTGTAGGGACACCAGCGAAAAAAGACGGCAACTCAACTGAGCTTCCTTCTCGTTTATATGCGGCAGACTGTTACCCAGGAGGACCTCAGAGACTAAACATCTATGCGAAAGCAAATGTCATCGGCCAAGTGGTTGCGGCGTTGCAAGGGCATGAGGAGTTGGAACATCTCCGGCAAACGCAGTTCGCCGGATTGCTGAATCTTCCGGTAGCACGATCCTCTAATTCCGCTAAACTTATTCACGCTCTGCTTGCCTGGCAACTGGTGACTAGGAGAAGATATGAACTGTGGACAGTGTTCGGTCCGAACCCAATTCGTTTCTCGCTCAGGGAATTTAAACGAATTACTGGGCTCTACTGCGGGAAAATTCCGGAGGACCATTTGGCGGAGAGGGAGACAAGTCCAGAAGCTCCGTGAAAAATTTGAAAACTTTGGCTAAAAACACCAAGCCTTGCCTGGACAAGTCCCTCTCTCTCTGTTATTCTTCATGGTATCAGAGGTTGAAATATTTTTCTGAAATACTTGTTTTTCTCCTTTTCTTGATTGATTGATCGATCATGAAACTGATGCTGTTCCATTCACGAACCCGATAACAACGGAAGTGAAAAGGACAATTTCTCCCTATGATTTGACTGCTGCTAACCCTGGTGCTGTGATTTCGCATCCTTTCCTCAAAGGATCGAATTACGATGACGGGGCTATCGGTTTGAAGACAGCTCTTTCTTCTCGAAGGAAGTTTTGCTTCCTTGATGGATCCATTGCTCGGCCAGCTGATGGATCTTCCAATCACGACGACTGGTGGACGATTCAAGCCTTGCTTGTATCGTGGATCAAGATGACCATTGATCCTGCTCTTCGGTCCAACATCTCTCATCGTGATGTTGCGAAAGATCTGTGGGATCATCTAAAGAAGAGGTTCACGGTGACTAACAGACCTCGGATTAACCAACTCAAGGCGGAATTGGTTGTTTCAAGCAGCGTGGACTTGCCATTAACGCTTACTATGGAAAGATAAACCGCATTTGGGACAACATGGCCACTACAAGAAAACATCGATTTAGCCACTACATTTTGCGACTCAACACTGAGTCGCTAAATATTGTTACTTATTTGCGACTAATTTAAGACTCGGTTACTACTTCACGATATTAGTCGCAATTCTGCTACCGCAAAGACCCGTGGTTCGGTAGTCGCAAAATTGCGACCTTTTTGCGACTAATCTAGCACGAAATATATTATCGCAAAAGCGTAGCTAATTAATCACCTTTTTGCGACGCCAAAGTCAGTCAAAAAATTGTAGTCGCATAATGTGGTCGCTAACTACAGTAGTCGCATAAGAGTGGCTATGGTTGCTACTTGTTTGCGACTACATATTGTAGTCTCAAGATAGTGTCAAATTAGTGTCTATATAATTAAACACATGTCTTTCGTGTGTAAGCCGTTAGGTTGGTGTACCTAATTTTTTAGAGCGACTAAATTTGTAGTCGCAAATAAGTAACTATGTAGTCACAAAGTAGTAGCAAATAACTCTATATATACCATACGATCTTTCTTCTCAAATTCAGAAAACAATTTCAACTTGATTTGTAGAGAGAAACAAATCATTCCAAAAAAAATGGTGGGAAATTATAATTTTCATAATTCTAGAGAGTGGATGTATAATAGAATCGATGAGCGTACGGGAAATATTTCGGCCGAGTTCGCTTCAGGAGTAGAAGAATTCATGAATTTTGCAAGCAGTCAGCCATTAGCGCTTAGCAGTGGTGGTAAGTTTTATTGCCCTTGTATAACTTGTCATAATGATAAATTTCTTACGGGGCGTAAAATTTGGAACCATCTGTATAGTAGAGGATTTATGGAAAATTATTATATATGGTATATGCATGGGGAAGAACTGGATGTCGATTTAGGAACAAGTCATGTTGATACAAGTTTTAGTAGTAGTAATCAAGCAGAAGATGCTAACGTAGAAGACGATAATGTGGAAGATAGATATGTCCAAATGGTGAATGATGCATTTCCTGATACCTCCAATATTGATAATTATTATCAAGAGGATCAGGGTAATCAAAATGCAGAAGAACCAAATAGTGAGGCCAAAAAATTCTACGACATGTTAGATGCTGCAAAAACTCCATTGTATGATGGTTGTCATGAAGGCCACTCGCAATTATTTCTAGCATCTCGGTACATGAACCTTCATGCCGATAATAATATGACTGAAAGGGGTGTGGATCAATGGGCAGAACTCATAACAGAGTTATTGCCTGATGAAAACCACGCAACTGAGTCATATTATGAGACGGAAAAATTGATGCGGAATCTAGCCCTCCCATATCATACAATTGACGTGTGTATTGAGAATTGTATGATCTTCTGGAGAGAAGATGAAAAGTGGGATGCATGTAAATTTTGCGGAGCACCAAGATATAAGCCCAGCGATGGACGAACCAAAATACCATACAGCCGTATGTGGTATTTACCTATTGGCGACAGACTGAAGCGTTTGTACCAGAGCGAGAAGACTGCATCAGCAATGAGATGGCATGCTGAGCATGAATCAGCGGAAGGAGAAATGTGTCATCCTTCAGATGCGGCTGAGTGGCAAAATTTTCAACAACTACATCCTCGCTTCGCCGAGGAACCCCGAAATGTTTACCTTGGATTATGTACAGATGGATTTAATCCATTTGGTATGTCCCGTAATCATTCGTTATGGCCTGTGATCTTGACTCCTTATAACTTACCCCCTGGTATGTGTATGAAGACAGAGTTCTTATTTCTTACAATTTTGAACTCTGGGCCAAAACATCCGCGAGCTAGTCTTGATGTCTTCCTCCGACCTTTGATTGAAGAGTTAAAAGAATTGTGGTCTACAGGAGTCGAGGCTTATGATATATCCCTGAATCAAAATTTTAATCTAAAAGCAGTGCTGCTATGGACAATCAGCGATTTCCCAGCTTATGGCATGTTGTCAGGATGGACGACACATGGTAGATTAGCTTGCCCAATTTGCATGGAGGATACAAAGGCTTTTCAACTGCCAAATGGAAGGAAGACGTGTTGGTTTGATTGTCACAGGAGGTATCTTCCGCATGGTCATCAGTTAAGGAAAAACAAAACAAGTTTTTTGAAGGGAAAACATGCTATAAGAGACTATCCGCCTCAATCTCTTACCGGTGAGTAAGTTTTGTATGAGCGAATAAGACAAGTTAATCCGCTCAAAACATCAGATTGCGGTGGAAATGGTCATGAAGTAAAACAACGAGGATACGGAGATTGGCATAATTGGCACAAAGAAAGTATATTTTGGGAATTGCCGTATTGGACAGACCTCAATCTACGGCATAATCTTGATGTGATGCATATAGAGAAGAATTTTTTTGATAACATCATGAATACCGTTATGAATGTTAAAGACAGATCGAAGGACACGGTTAAGTCAAGGTTAGATGTCGCACGTTTTTGCGACAGGAAAGAGCTACATGTGGACAATCGAGGCAAAGCTCCATTTCCTATTTTTAGATTGACTCCACCAGCGAAAGAAGCGCTTCTGAATGTGTAAAAAATGATGTTAATTTCCAGACGGCTATGCTTCAGATTTAGCTAGTTGTGCAGATGTACAAGGAGGGAAATTTTCCGGCATGAAGAGTCATGATTGCCATGTTTTTATGGAACGACTACTTCCATTTATCTTTGCAGAACTTTTACCGAAGCCCGTTCACCTTGCACTATCAGGTACTTCTAACACAATTTTTATATTGTTATATATTTTTCTATTATTAATTACCTTCATGATTTATAATTATATATAACCATTTTATATTTGTTCTTTGTAGGGATTGGGAGATTTTTCCGTGACTTATGCTCTAGAACTTTACAACAAAGCCGTGTTCAAGTGCTAAAGGAAAACATAGTGATGGATATATGTAATTTGGAAATGATATTTCCACCAGCTTTTCTCGATGTGATGGAGCACCTGCCTGTACATCTCCCGTATGAAGCTGAACTAGGGGGTCCGGTACAATATAGATGGATGTATCCTTTTGAAAGGTTTTTCAAAAAATTGAAAGCCAAGGCGAAGAACAAAAGGTATGCGGCGGGATCGATTGTTCAGTCCTATCTGAATGATGAGATTTCTTATTTTACAGAGCACTACTTTGCCGCACATATACGTACAAAAAAAGGTATGTAACAGATATTACTTATTAATGATATATAAAAATATTTGTTGCTTATAGTTTTCAATTAATTAATTAATGTTATTTGTTTAGATCCAGTAGATTCGATGAAGGTGAAGTTCCTAAATATCCAGTTCCTGATGTGCCCGATATATTTACTCATGTTGGTCGACGTAGTGGAAAAGTTAAAGAAATTTGGCTATCAGAGAAAGATTATCAATGCGCGCATGGCTACATCTTGCGAAACTGTGAATATTTTCGACCTCTTGAAAGGTAACTGACCTTTTTAGTGATAACTATAACATTGATGAATACCTTTATTATAACATACTTTTATTTTCGTGTGTTTATCATCAGCTTGTTAGAAAAGCAGATTCGTTTTACATATCCCGAACTATGTGACAATGATGTATTGGTAAAAAGAGACGAACAATTTCCTATATGGGTTAGAGATTATGTAAGTGTAAAGCTGTTAATATATATACTTACAATTATATTTACGTCTACATATATATATATATGTACTTAATTATCTATATAACGCTTTACCTACCTATATTGTGATCGCAGGTTCGTTCAAGAACATTGAATCAATCCGAAGTGTTTCCTGTATGGGTTCAAGAGCTTGTGCAAGGTCCTATAAACAAGCAAAACTCTGGCCCGTTTACTTTACAAGAGGTTATTTGTTTCATACACGGAAATACGGACACCGAAAAAGAACATGCAACTACGGGGTATATGTCAAAGGAGTAAATTACTCAGATGCCTCTGATGAATCTGATTTTTACGGAAATTTAACAGAGATTCTAGAGCTTCAATATATGGGGTTGGTATCTTTGAAGATCACATTTTTTAAATGCGAGTGGTACGATCCTACAGACAAAAAAGGCACTCGAAAGAGCAAGGGTGGAGTTGTCGATGTTCTTTCCTCGGAAAATATCGTAAATACGAACCATTCATTCTCGGTAGGTTTATGAATTTTATTTAGCATGATTTTAAATTTGTTTTCACCTTTAATTTGCAATTACTTACTTATAATCGTTCATTTGAATTTGCGTACATGCAGCTTCTCAGGCGGACCAAGTTTGTTATATCCCGTATCCATACGTTACTAAACCAAAAAGTTGTGGCTAAATGTTCTTAAAGTTAATCCAAGGGCAAATATTTTGGGGAATTACAAGGATAAAGAACCAACTCTTCTTCAACAAGAAAATGACGACGATGTGTCGACAACAATCGAAGATATCATAATAGATAGTCTGGTGAACAGAGAACATCCAACAGAAGAAATTGATTTTGATGTCGGAGATGCCCAAGGAGAAGATGAATTTCAGTGTAACATATCATCTTCGATGAAGATGAATATGATGAGGATGAGGATGAAGATGTAGATCAAGCATACTAATAATGCTTTTTATGTAATTATATTATTATTGTGATCAATATTTCATAAATAATAACTACCTACAATCGCAAATCATATTTATAATAAATAACTCACCATAGTCGCTAATGTGTAGCAATAGTGCGACTGACTTGCAACTCGCAAGTAAAATGAAAAATTTCAGTCTCAAAAAAGTCACACAATCGGAGTATTGTGCGACTGTTTTGCGACTCCCAAAGAAAATATATTAAAAAAAAAACCGTCTTAGTCGCAAATAAGTCACATAGTTTTAACTTTGCGACTGATTTGCGACTTCAATTCATTTTTTCATCTCTAAAAGGTTTATGTTATTAAGTTTTTGTAAAATAAGATGCTAATACTACAGTACTTGTTTAACTACTACAAGAAATCAAAATTTGTTGAAATTATAGGGTTTTGAATATGATATTCACAATTTCATTATTTATCTTAAAATCATATTGATTTGGTTCTAAGTTATTGGAATCTTGTTTTAAGTATTCCAATAATTTAATTTGTACTCAATTATTAATAGATTACACATATTGTGCAACCAAATATAGCAAATATATCATTTAGGGGTTATTTAGGGTATGTGGAAAACCAAATTCATAATAAATAACTCAAAGTAGTCGCTAATTCGTAACAAAAGTGCGACTGATTTGCGATCCGAAGAAAATATATTAAAAAACCCGTCTTTAGTCGCAAATAAGTCACATAGTTTTAGCTCTCTGCGACTGATTTGCGACTTCATTCATTTTTCCATCTCTAAAAGGTTTATGTTATTAAGTTTTTGTAAAATAAGATGCTAATAGTACAATACTTGTTTCACTACTACATAGAAATCAAAATTTGTTGAAATTATAGGGTTTTGAATATGATACTTCACAACTTTCATTATTTATCTTGAAATCATATTGATTTGTTTCTAAGTTATTGGAATCTTATTCTAAGTATTCCAATAATTTAATTTCTACTCAATTATGAATAGATTACACATATTGTGCAACCAAAGATAGCAAAGATATCATTTAGGGGTTATTTAGGGTATGTGGAAAACCAAATTCATAATAAATAACTCACAGTAGTCGCTAATTAGTAGCAAAAGTGCGACTGATTTGCGAATCCCGAAGAAAATATATTAAAAAACCCGTCTTTAGTCGCAAATAAGTCACATAGGTTTAGCTCTCTGCGACTGATATGCGACTTCCATTCATTTTTCCATCTCTAAAAGATTTATGTTATTAAGTTTTTGTAAAATAATATGCTAATAGTACAAAACTTGTTTCACTACTACATAGAAATCAAAATTTGATGAAATTATAGGGTTTTGAATATGATACTTCACAACTTTCATTATTTATCTTGAAATCATATTGATTTTTTTCTAAGTTATTGGAATCTTGTTCTAAGTATTCCAATAATTTATTTTCTACTCAATTATTAATAGATTACACATATTGTGCAAGCAAAGATAGCAAAGATATCATTTAGGGGTTATTTAGGGTATGTGGAAAACCAAATTCATAATAAATAACTCACAGTAGTCGCTAATTAGTAGCAAAAGTGCGACTGATTTGCGACTCCCGAAGAAAATATATTAAAAAACCCGTCTTTAGTCGCAAATAAGTCACATAGTTTTAGCTCTCTGCGACTGATTTGCGACTTCCATTCATCTCTAAAAGGTTTATGTTATTAAGATTTTGTAGAATAAGATGCTAATAGTACAATACTTGTTTCACTACTACATAGAAATCAAAATTTGATGAAATTATAGGGTTTTGAATATGATACTTCACAACTTTCATTATTTATCTTGAAATCATATTGATTTGTTTCTAAGTTATTGGAATCTTGTTCTAAGTATTCCAATAATTTAATTTCTACTCAATTATTAATATATTACACATATTGTGCAACCAAAGATAGCAAAGATATCATTTAGGGGTTATTTAGGGTATGTGGAAAACCAAATTCATAATAAATAACTCACAGTAGTCGCTAATTAGTAGCAAAAGTGCGACTGATTTGCGACTCCCGAAGAAAATATATTAAAAAACTGTCTTTAGTCGCAAATAAGTCACATAGTTTTAGCTCTCTGCGACTGATTTGCGACTACCTATTTAACCTGTCGTCGCAAAGTCGCTTCATATTTCCGAAAATTCCCCAATTATTTTCAATTTACCGGCTGAAACCCCCAAATTGTTTTTTCCTCTATCTCACAAAACCCTTCACTTCTCTCTCTCTCTCAATCGATCTGTTGCATGTCTCTAATCCCGCCTCCTTTCAACTTCTCGATCGATCCGTTCTGTATCTCCATCTCCTCGCTTTCTCTCTATCCTCTCAATCTCTCATAAACCTCTCTCAATCGATCTCACCCTCTCAATCTCTACCTTTCGGTTTTCCAATTTCTTTTTGAAACCCCCGAATTCGACAAATCTCTCATTCTCTCCTCAATGGCCGGCTCCGGTAAATCTCAAAAGGGTCGTGGCGGTATAAGCGACGGGATGGGGTCGTCGTATGGAAGAGCTTCATCTCACAGCTCAAACAGTACTACCCCGACTTCAAATCGCCGGCCCCTTCCTATTCAATACGCTCACAGTCAGAGCCCTATTCTGGAGACAATCCCACCGCGTGGCTCAACTCTTGCTCCACAGCAGTCGCCGCGTGGCTCGGCTTCACACCCACAGCCAATCCGTCCCCAACCGCTTCGTCCACCGCCGTACGTTCCACCACAGTGGACTCCACCGCCTGTCGGTCTAGAGACAGACGCTGAACCAACGGGGCACCAATTCCCGGAACAGCCTCAACCACCACCTCATCAAGATCTACCGATGAGTATCCATGACTTGCTGCGAACACCAGGTCGTGCAGATTATTTACCCATCTTGGACCCTCTTCCAACCGCAACCACAATATGGTAATCGCTACTAAGTTTTATTTTTTTTAATTTCTTTGCTTGATTGTGTGTTCTTCTCATAACTCAATTGAAATGGCTTTGTGTTTTATCCTCATATTGTAGGTTTGATCGGGATGATGGGAAATTGGTTCGCAAAATATCGAAGCTTTTGAAAAGCAAGTTCGATGATGCATACTACTGCTGGACAAAAACGCCTCCATGATGCGATCATGGATGAGGAGGTTCAGGAAAAGCAGCTTTTGGCCGAGGAAGATGGAATGGAACAGCTTGAAGCCGAGGAGGGACTTGAAGCCGCGCAACTTGAACCTGATGGAGCTAAACATATGGAGCTGGAACCTGACGGAATTAAAGAGCTTGCAGCTGAGAAGGAGCTTGTTTCCAAGGATTCTGTAGCTGCGCCAATGGAACTGATTACTCATTCTGGAGTTAATCTTGAGCCAAGATGGAGAAGACATGATCCTAAACCTCCCTGGTTTTTGATCCAAGCTCAAGAGATCAGCAAATGGGCATGTGTCTTATTTGTACTCTTTTTCCCTTGTCAAGTTTTGTCCCAATGGGTTTTCTTGACAAGGTTTTTAATGAGGCAAATGGGTCACATACAAATCACCCATTTAGCTGATCAAGACCAAGGCCCATTTCCCTTCTTCAACTCTAAGTCTTGCCGCCCAGGGTCTCTTTTTTATTCAAACTTTGTCTTTAATGTTTGTCTGTTTCCGAGATGGTCATGGAGTCTGTTCCATTGACTCATCTCTCTTCTTCTCTCTTCTCTTTCCCTTTATATTGTAGTGGACGAAATCCTTTGAAGTTTATCAAATAATCTTTTACCAAAAACCTCTCTTTTGTTTGATCACTTGTTCTGTCCACTTGTTGTGCGTAATATCAACTAAGTCCACAGAATTCTCCTTTCACTTGTTGTGCGTAATATCAACAAGTCGAAGGTGGTGTTAGAGTTCCATTTCCGCGGGTTCTCTAGTATAGCCACTCGATCCACTTCATCTATCATTCATCATCGTTTTCCCTTGTGTTCCAATCCGCTCAATCACTCATCATTGGTTCCTTTGTGATCCAAACCATTCAAACACTTAGTTCTCAAGCCGATTTATTCCAGGGGCGCATCAGGTGGTATCAGAGCCCACTCTAGAGTTTGGTTTTCGTTCTTTATCATCCTTCTCATCTATTCATCTTCTTTTAGTTTATATTCAAATAAGGGCAAGATTTGAGGACAAATCTTTTTTTCAAGAGAGGGAGTATGATATGATTATCATATCAGTTGGTGAAGAAAATTATCTAATCAAGGCTTGCAACTCTATGGGCTGGATCTCAAGAAGAAAACATCTCATTTGAAGCCCAAGACTTATCAAGAGAAGACTCATTTTCGAGTTCAAGCCTTGACTGCATTTAATGATGTGTATTTCTCTCTCTTACATGCAGTTTTGAGTCAAATTTCATTTTCCAAGAAGCTCTGCATGTTAGGCTCTTAATTTTGACGAAAATGGCTTGTAATCCTCTATATATAGAGCCCAAAAATCATGAATAAAATTATCCAAGTTTTTATTATCAAACCCTTTTCAAACTCTTGGATCACTTCTCTATGGTGTCAAATCTATGGAGAACCCTATTCACTCTTGGTGTGTAATATCCAATGAGTCTATAGCGAGCCCTGTTCACTCCTGGTGTGTAATATCTAGCGAGTCTTCAGGTTGGTGTTTTAGAGATCCTTCCGCAATCTCTGAATCAAACCATTCAACCATTCAACTCCTTCCATCATCACAGCTTCTAGCCAAATCTATCCAACCTCAACTCTAGAGTGCCCCATCCTTGGGAAGAGATCATCATTTGGTATCAGAGCCACCTTGAAGCTAAGTGATTTCATCTCTATGATTTTTCTTAGTTTGTCTGTTCATCTTCTCATTTAGAAAGTCATAGATCTACTCATCATCATGTTCTCCTGATCATTTCCTTGTTACCATCAGCATATCGGCTACTCTATTGCATTTTCCAACCATTGAATCATCATTCTTAGCATCTTAGATCTGGCTGTTCATCTTCTGTTCTTGATCATCATAGATCTAGTTGCTGGAATTATTTTCGTAATTTTTTTGAGCATTCTGGCATCATATCCTGGTTCATTAGCACCTTATCTGTATTTTAGAATTTATTTCATAATTTTTAAAATTGTTTACATAATTTTTCGGAATTGTTTGCTTGTTTCTGTGAACTAGTGACTGCCGAGATTTTTGTTTGCAATTTTCAGGTGCTATGGCCTCAGAAGAAGAAGAAGAGGAAACAAGCCGAGAATCACCATCAAGCCTCAACGAAGCCATGCTTGAACAGATCAAGAAGATGATGATTGAGGAGTTTGATCGGAGAGAAAAGATTAAAGAAGGAAAGCGGAAGCAACCTAAGGATCCGGTCACATCTAAGAAGAAGCCGATTGAGGATCTTAGTGGTTACATGATGATTCCGCCATTCCATGGGAACAATGATCCGGATGTATATCTGGATTGGGAGAGGAAGTGCGAGATTATCCTTCAACCGACATAACATAGCTGACATCAACCGAGTCACATTAGCAGCTATGGAGTTCAAGTATTATGCTCTAAGTTGGTGGAAACAGGTTGAGACGGCACAGCTTATAGTGGAGCTTATGAGATCTCTACTTGGGGAGAAATGAAAAGGGTTATGAGGCAGCGGTTCGCTCCCAATCATTATCAGCGTGAACCTCATTCCAAGCTAAGGAAGCACAGCAGGAACTCGTTCGGTTGAGTACTATAGTAGCCATGGGAAACGAAACCCAAGCAGCCTGACAAGATCACAAAGCCTTATCCAAGACATTTCTCTAAAGAAACCAGTCCTGAACCACAAGAAAGCATTCAAAGCAAAGGTAAGCATTCTGTTTCTCAACAATTACAAGAATTAACTTTTGCAGGACCAGGAACAGAGACCACGTTTCTAAGGAGCTCCCAAGCAAGGTGATCCCTTCCTCTATTAGTCCAAAGCCTATGGCAGCAGAAAGTGTCAAAGAAGTGCCAAAGGATCACGCAGAGAAAGGTTTAGGTGCCAAAGATGTTTCAGTCCAAACCCCCTGTTACCAACTGCAAGGAAACAAGAAACAAGAAATTGTTTCAGTCTCTAACAATGGAAAGGTACAAGCTAAACTTTTTCAAACTGTTTATGATGATTCCATGACTGGTATGATGCACTTGTCTTTCTCCAAAGGTGTTGAGACAGGTACAGGAAGTAGTGAAGAACAAATGGAGAAAGCAAATCAAGAAAAGGAGACTCAACCAAACCTGGATCCGCCAGAATCTAAACCACCAGACCAACAACTACAAGACCATGAGTTCAATCCAGAAGGACCAGAACCGAACAACAAGAGGAAGTCAAAATCAGAACAAGAATACAGTCAAGCCATGCCTACTTCTAAGCTAAGTGAATTCTTAAACCAACACATTCATCCTGTCTTTTTAACTGTCTTAATGCACTTGTCTTGGTTTAAAGAAGTTGAGAAAGGTACAGCTGAGCAAGAGAGACGCCTAGAAGCTCACAAAGCTTTAACTTGCCATACCAAGAAGGAGTATGAGCAACATGTTCTTAAGCCAATTGCCGCAGCTGATTCACTAATGAGCGTTTTGAATAGTACACAGGTTAGTGAAGCTCAATACTTGATTTACTATTGGGATCATTTCATGATACATCAGAAACTTCAGAATTTTGTTTTTGAAATTCCCATTTCAAGTATAATGCACTTGTTCTTTTCCTTGAGTGTCAACAAAGGATCAGGTTTTATGGAGAAGCATAAGAACTGGAAGAAGCAGCATCAAAGAACAACACAGTCTCATCTCACGTTCATCTCATTCCCTGTTCACCTATGGTTCTTTGTTTGAGTTCTCTATTTACCAAAGGCGAGGCAACACTGAACCAAAATCAAGAAGAGTGGCTCACATTTTCCAATCCAATTCCAGAGAAACCACCAGACTCTTATCTAGGATATCCAAAGAAGCAAACCCAAGGTAAGTATCTAGATTCCCAAAGGCGTATGAGACCTAATTTGCTTTCTTTTGGTGCAGGTCAACTAGTTTTGAGGACAAAACTTTTTCAAGAGGGAGGGGATGATGCGATCATGGATGAGGAGGTTCAGGAAAAGCAGCTTTTGGCCGAGGAAGAAGATGGAATGGAGCAGCTTGAAGCCGAGGAGGGACTTGAAGCCGCGCAACTTGAACCTGATGGAGCTAAACATATGGAGCTGGAACCTGACGGAATTAAAGAGCTTGCAGCTGAGAAGGAGCTTGTTTCCAAGGATTCTGTAGCTGCGCCAATGGAACTGATTACTCATTCTGGAGTTAATCTTGAGCCAAGATGGAGAAGACATGATCCTAAACCTCCCTGGTTTTTGATCCAAGCTCAAGAGATCAGCAAATGGGCATGTGTCTCATTTGTACTCTTTTTCCCTTGTCAAGTTTTGTCCCAATGGGTTTTCTTGACAAGGTTTTTAATGAGGCAAATGGGTCACATACAAATCACCCATTTAGCTGATCAAGACCAAGGCCCATTTCCCTTCTTCAACTCTAAGTCTTGCCGCCCAGGGTCTATTTTTTATTCAAACTTTGTCTTTAATGTTTGTCTGTTTCCGAGATGGTCATGGAGTCTGTTCCATTGACTCATCTCTCTTCTTCTCTCTTCTCTTTCCCTTTATATTGTACTGGACGAAATCCTTTTCAAGTTTATCAAATAATCTTTTACCAAAAACCTCTCTTTTGTTTGATCACTTGTTCTGTCCACTTGTTGTGCGTAATATCAACTAAGTCCACAGAATTCTCCTTTCACTTGTTGTGCGTAATATCAACAAGTCGAGGTGGTGTTAGAGTTCCATTTCCGCGGGTTCTCTAGTATAGCCACTCGATCCACTTCATCTATCATTCATCATCGTTTTCCCTTGTGTACCAATCCGCTCAATCACTCATCATTGGTTCCTTTGTGATCCAAACCATTCAAACACTTAGTTCTCAAGCCGATCTATTCCAGGGGCGCATCACTCCATATGTTCAAGATAGGTGTTTCATAGCCTTTGCGGTATGAAACTAAACCCAATCATTTCCCTAAATATTTCATTTTTGTCTTAATCAACTAGTTTTTTTTTGTTAATTTCATTCTATGTTCTTTCATTTGTGAAGCAAGCATACCATTGGGATCCCTTGATCCATTCACTCGTGGAAGACGAATTCAAGGCATTGCTTTGAATCGGATGAAAGACATGGTCTCCAAAGCAAGACAAAAGGGGTTCGACCAAGTTGGATTGGGGAAACATTGTGGGAGACAATGTGCGCTTACTGGTCCACCGAGGAGGCCAAAGCGAGAGAAGTTCTACTGCATCAAATGCAATCAAATTTCCGAAAGATGGACTTGGCAAGCGCATACATCGGTCAGGACAAAAGTCCTATTCACGCATTCAGAGAGATATGGTAAGTTCTCCTTTTTGATGCTTGTCTTTCATCTTTTGTTTGTTATTTTTGTGGCTTAGGTTCTTGTGGTGAAATGTTTTGCTTGTGCGAAAGATATCTTAATTTGTTTTCATTATGGTCTCTATATGGTGAAGCGAGATTGAATGGACCTAGTATCATTGTCATTGCTTAGGATTGTTATTTTTGGTTTGACAAAAAGGCATTAGTTTGGTAATGTTTCAGTTTGTTAGTATTTGAGACGGTTTCATTTAATTTGTAATTTGATCTCTTTCTCTGAAATTTTTATATGTGATGAAGGAAAAAGAGCTTGGAAGACCGGTGTCAATCGGAGAAGTGTTCATAAGGACACATACACGGCCTGACGGAAGTTTCGTTGATCCAAAGTCTCAGCATGATTGCTGAAGTGTATGAAAAAAACTTAGAGGACGAGATGTCTCAGCTCATGGATGACGAAACTGATTGTTCTTCTGAGCTTACCACAGCTGCAAAAGACAATGTCTTTCTCAAGGTCAGTCTCTGTTTTGTTTATGTATGTGTTGCGTGAAATGTACTTGTGGTTACTACTTTGTCATGATATGCATTTGTTTTATTTGCAGTCTACGGTAACAGATGATAGAGGCCAAGAGTTCGGTCTTGGTAGTCTCCGGAGACACTATGGCAACGGGAAGAGGAAGGGAGGGCCAGGGACCTCAACTGTCTCTGCTATTTCGGAGATGCAAGAGCAGTTGCAAGCTGCTCAATGCAAAATTGAAGAGCAGGCAGCGTCTATTGCTGCACGGCAAGATGAATCAGCTCAGCAACGTGACCGCATCGGCAACCTGGAGATGGTCTTGAGCTATCTGAAGTCAACAGATCCAAAGTTCACCGACTATGTAGCAACCCTTTCTCATGCAGCAGCTTCAAATCCGAGTGAGGAAGGTACTCGTTCACCTAGAGAACCCACCTGATTTTCTCTCTTCTTTTGTTTTGTACAACTCAAGGTTTTGGTTCGAGTGTAAACATGAGTTTCTTGTGCACATGTTTAGAATCGAAACATGGTTTTGGTTGTTTCTATTGGCAACAAAAACTTGGTGAATGTATATTTTTATTTGTTTTGCACATGTTTTGTTTTTTGAATGGAAACTTGTTTTTCCTTTTAAGATTATTAATACATGTTTAGTAGTCTCTGAATTTTAGTTTTAGCATTCTTTAAAACTAATAATTTAGAAATCAATTTGACTATTCATGAATTAGAAACGACTAATTAGTCACCATTGTGTATCAAATCTAAGCAACAACTTAGCCACTGCATATTTCAAAGGAGTCGCAAAGTAGTCACACATATTTAACACTTTTTTGCGACTACGGCCAATATTAAATTATGAAATAATATACGAAAATATATATATATATATATATATATATATATACAACAGTCGCAAAAGAGTCGTTAAATTTAGTCACATGTTTGCGACCACATCAACAGAAGTCTTTAATCAGTCCCAAAACTTAACGACTATACAACGACCGTTTTATTATAACTGAAGAAGTCTTAAAATTGTCGCAAAATATTGCGACTTAATTGCCACTTCATGAGCGACTATTTTGAGACTACTGTATATTCGTCGTAATATTTAACGCGGAGTCTCTAGTAGTCGCAAAAAAAAAGACTACATTGTAGTCACACTTTGGTTTCATATGTGCGACTAAGAGGCGACTATGTGGCTTTGTGACGCGTGATTTGCGACTACTTTGTGTAGTCGCGAAAAAGTTTCAACACTTGTATTTGCGACTACTTTGCGACATTTCGTGTAGTGGCAAGATCGATGTTTTCTTGTAGTGGGCTCAATACAGGCCGTTACGCGTCTGCAAATGTGGCAAATGTGAGTGTGATTTGGGGACTCTCTGTAATATCCCCGATGAGAAATGAGAAGAACGGACAAAATAAAAATTCCAGAAGACGCATAGGTTCAAGAAAAAACACTTCGGTCGGGGCACAATTCAAATGCAACGACAAAAATCCAAGGTAGGAAGAGAGAAACCGCAACGAGACAAATTTGGCCAAGGACAGCCACATACGGACAAACACTCGATCGAGTTAGACAACTACCAGCCAAAAGTTGTCATATTGATGTAAAAACTTACAGACATCTAGAAGACACTAAGGCAAGTACTTTGGTCAAGACAGAAGAAGAAAAGAACAAGTGGAACTCAAGATATTGGTCTGGGCACTTGATGGTCAAAACCGAAGGGCGAACAAACCAATATCTCAACTCAGGAAGATCTATGACCGGAAACAACTACGGCCTGATGATTAGAAGAATCTCAACCCATCTGGGCCATGGACAACTCACTCAAGAGCATCAGGCAGAAAATTGACCAATGGAAGAACATCACTTGGCGAAAATTCTCACCATAAGGTTACACCCATGTGCGACTGCCTAGCTTTAAGGAAACCAATCCCTAATGCAAAGGAGGAAAGTTCATCACTTTTTCCACTTTTTAACACTTGGAGGAAGCTAGTACAAGTGTCCAAGGCGTACCAACAAGTGTGCCTTAGCAACTGTTTGCATGGAGAAGAAGGGTCACGTTTTTCATATGCAAAACAAGGTGAGCTTAATGTGGTCCCTTTCTAGACCTCTTAGGCTGAAAACCTACGATCTATGAAAGAATATACATATTCCCTTGGTACTTGCATTTTAATTGGAACTTGAAGAAGAGTTGCTACGTGGAGCACAAGTGTCGACTTTGTCTACTGATGTACTTGCATTTTACATAGTTTTAGCACATCTTTTATGCATCTTTTGCATAGTTTTAGCTTCCATTTGCATCATATCTTGTTCCTTTTCTCTTCTTATGCATTCATGTTAGTTTTAGGTTGCATTTGCATACATATGCATGTTTGGTCCTTTGAAATAGGTCTTTTGGAGCATTCTGGAGCATATGGGACATGAGGAGCATGGAGGGACTTGGCACATGGAAGCAGCTCAACTGGATACGCAAAGGAAGAAGGGAGAAGCCATCTTGAAGACCAGCTCGACCGTCTACTCGACCAACCGGTCGAGTTCCTCAACTCGACCGGCCAAGCTTCAACTCGATCGAGCTGGAAGTCAAAGTCAAACCCGAAAAATGTTGCTTCCCCCTTGACTTCCTTTGACCCTAAACCTAATCCTCTTTGTATTTAAAGGCTCTAAGCCACGAAAAAACCACCAAGCTTTAGATTACTTTTGTTTTAGCTTTCTTTTAATTGTCTTTTACTTTTTAGAGACTAATCCCATCTTTGTGTTCTTGAAGCTCTTGCTTCTTGAATCTTAGATCCTGGATTAATCTCTTTGTATTTGCACTTGCTTATTTCAATAAAAGTTGTTTAATTTCATCTCCTCTTTCTTATGATGTCTCTTTTATTGCATTTGCTTGTGTTTACATTCATGTGTAGTGAGTAGTTACCCATTAGGGTTTGAGATGGGATAGATTAGAGGTTTCATATGCTTAATCCTTCTAGCTTATGGTCTTAATCTAGATTCTCTCTCTTTTGGATAGATCTTAAGGCTACATGACCACTACCCCTGGCTTGTAAGTCCTTAGGCGACTCCCCACACGAAAGTGATGGCATTCGCTGGAAAAGATCCACTAAGAGCTCCAATATCTCTTGCTCTAGACAATAGAGGTCTAAGGGGTTGGATGGATTAGTTTGGGCAATGATCCTATAGCCTCCAAGGTTTGATTCTCACTGGCTAACCCCCTGTTTCTGAGATCATTCCTTGGTTGATAGCCTCCACCTTGGGAAAGGGTTGGCTAGGCATTGAGAAGCCCAATATCAAGAGAAGCCTTGATACAAGGAGTTTTAAGAGCTAGATTGATTAAGTGTAGATTCCTTTGATTGCAAAACCCTGTCTTGAACCCTAATTCTCTCTTTATCTTGTTAAAGTCGTCACCTTTAGCTTTGTTTGTCTCAACTCGTCCCTAAACTCGATCGAGCTGGTACTTTGCTCTACTCGACTCGAGCTCTTGGTCGAGCTGACACTTCACTGCTTTGTTTACTTTTATTGCACTGCTTTTCATTTATTTAGGTTGTTAGTGTTACTTCAAATCTTAACTGCTTGCTTGACTTCCTGGTTGTTTCATATTCTCATAGAGTGACAAGTTTCCCATTTTGGATTGATAACCCTTTATACTACAATGACTATGATGGTTAAAGGGAATTGTTGACTGTGTTTGTGTTTGCATCTTACCACCTCATCTTATACCACTGTTGCATTCCACCACATCTCATTTCATATCTTTCACATCCACACACAAATCCTATCATCATCTACAAAAAGGGAAACAAATCAACATAGGTGCAAGTGGCCTATAAAAAGCCTACATAATTAGACTCCACACATGTCAAGATAGGACAGAATGCAAGGGAGAGAAGACTAAAAATGCAAGCCGATTTGGAAGCAATGACTCAAAGGATGGAAGAGTCTGATGCAGAGGGGTATGTCTACTCTGAGGAGGAGTCTGAGAGCGAGAGATTGAGGGAGGAAAGGAGAACCAAGAAGAGGAATGACCCAATTAGTAGTGAGAGTGAGCAAGGAGAGTTTGAGATTGGGGTGAACCTTGTTCAAGAGGAGGGTGACGGCTCTCCAACTGAAGAAGGAAGTGATGAATCCGAGACTGAAGAGGAAGGAGAGGAAGTGAATCAATTGGTTGATGAGAGTGAACAAGAGAGTAACCAAGATGAGCCCATGGAGGAGGCTGAGCCACAAGAGGAGGAGGAAGAACTCCCTATGTACCAAGAGCACTACAATGCTCTCTTCTCCATGGAATTTGTGGAGACCAAGTATCCCACAAGATGACACAATGAGGGCGCTTGGATCTTTGAGGATGTGGAGTTGGTACTCAAGAACATGCAATTGGCAAAGTTCTTCTCTCACCGCATGGAGTCCTACAAGGAGCTCACTTGTGAGTTTTTGGCATCGATGAGGTATCACCAATTCGATGCGCTCGATCGAGCTGAGTTGGACCAAGGCTGGGGATGGATTACTTTCTTGGCAAAGGGAGAGAGGAAGATGGTAACCTTCAGGCAGCTAGAGATACTCTTTGGCTTCACTTATGGAGAAGGAAACCTATGGAATATCAAGGAAGATGAACTCCAAAGAGTATGGGCTACAATCGTTGAAGAGGGATACTCTTCTTCAAGGTCAAAGGCTGCCCAAATCAGGAGCCCAGTGCTGAGATATGTCCACAAAGCTCTTGCCAACACCTTCTTTGCAAGGAAAGCCACTGGTACAATCAATGAAGGAGAAGTCAAGCTCCTTGACATGGGAATTAAGCCCATCATCTCACGCACAAGAGATGGGAAGAAGATCAGAGGAGATAGGGCACACGCAGGAAACCTCATGCCTCTCCTTGAGCAGCTGCTCTCCTACAAGGTCACGGCCTACAACACTCGGTTTCAAACGGGAAGGAAACTTAGTGTTGGAGGAGTCATCACGCCAATCCTTTGTGCGGCTGGGGTCCAACTGAACAAGAGGATGTCAACTCCAGCTGGATGGATGGACATCAAGTTTTGCAAGACAACCTCCTCATAGAACACAAGGAGTTGGATGGGAGGTACCAATTCAAGTTCACACATCCACTGGCTGGCCCTTCCAAGCTTCTCCTGCCCAACCCAGAGCTCACCACAGTTGTCAGGGGTGAGAACATCGACTTCAGACCCCCAGTGTACACGCTAGTTGGGCATGAGGATGAGTTGCGAGAAGAGGAGCCTGAACTCGATCGAGCTGAGGATCGAGCTGAGGTTCGAGCTGAGGATCAAGTTCAGGAGAATGAAGATTTGGGTGAGCCTGAGTGTTACTATTTTGAGGAGTATGAGGCTCCAAGGATGAACCCCTCTGTTGTGGCTGCTTACAAGAGGATTGGACTTCTTCAAAAGTTCAACAAATGGCAAGGGAAGGCCATTGAAAAGATGCAAAAGTCCATGGACAAGATGGTGAGCAAGATCAAGAGTTTGGAGAAGAAAGTTTCTGGTTCTTCATCCAAGAAGAAGAAGGCAACCATGGCCCCCACATTCCCAGGAGTAGATCTCTCCTCACCACTCCAAGGAGGCTTCCTGCCCAAGAGCCTCACAGAGCCTCATCATTTGAGCCAAGGGAAGGAGAAGACAACTCGCAGAGAAGGAGGAAGAGTTCCAAGGCTCGACGCTCTAACTCGACCACATGACTCGATCAGTCCAAATAGAGGAAACTCAACTCGATCGAGCTGATGCTCGAGTCGGTCTTGAGGAGTCGGAATTCGAGAATCTTGGGTTCGAGTACGATCCGACACCTTACCAGGAGTATCCCCAGAGCAGGTGGAACCCATACGGCCAGTTCGAGCTAGCCAGGCTCCACCAAGGCCAAGGGAGCCACACACACTTCAACGATGAAGAGGAAGAAGAGAGCTGCAAGCTCGATCGAGCGGCGTGAACCCGGTCGAGTGGAGTGTCCCTGACGGCCGTCTACCCTCTCCTGACCACGACCTTGCCTCCCAAATCTTTGGGGGGCACTGAGGTATCAAACACCCACCATTGTACATACCATCTCATATTTCTTGCATTTGTTTTTTTTTGGTTTTGCCCTCTTGAATCTTTCACTAAATTTCTCTCACACAAGGGACTGTGTGATTTAAGTTTGGGGGAGGGTTCAAGAGATGATTTAACCTTGTTTTCTTTGTTCTTAGTTTTACATTCATCCTTTTGCATAGAAAAACCAAAAAAATCATAAAATTTTCAAAAAATCTAAAAGTTGTATAGAATTGTATAGGATTAGCATAAGGTGTTGTGTTTAAACCGGCAGTAGTTCTAGTTGTCTAGTTCTCTTGGGATTGTTTTCAGGCTAAGTTTGGGGGTGCCAACTCGAGCTCGATCGAGTTGGGTGTAAAAACCAGAAAAGTGGTAAAAGTTGGGAAAATCCAAAGGAAAAAGAGTTTAGTTAAGTCCAGGGAGTTGGCAGTGTTAAAAAGGGTCTAGTAAAGGTTTGGGAAGTTAAAAAAAAAGTAAAAAGGGTTCTAAGTAGAATGAAAAGAAGGCAAAGCCTCAAGTGTCAAAAAGAAAGAAAAGTTCCCTAAGTGTTTAGAAAATCCCAAACCGCTAGATGTTACCTCAAGAAGCCTCTCCCTAGGAAGTTCTTAAAAGAAAAGTGAGCAAAGCTCCTCAGTTTCAAAGGCGAAATGCCAAAAAGGGTAGTTAGGATTTTGTTCTAAAAAGCTCTAAGTGTTGAACTCGATCGAGTTAGGATTAGGCGGCTCGAGCTGCTGTTCTTGCATCATCTTTGGTTCTAACACTTAGCCTTCTGCCAAAGCAAAGCCACTTTCTTGAGAGATCCCTGTTACTAAACCACCATACAAAAGAGACCCTCTTTGTCTCTTAACCCATAAACCCTTGAAACCAAATGAGTTGATTGATCTTGCATGTTTTTGGTTCACTGTTTTTGCTTAATGAATGTTAAAGGGATTTGCTGATTTGAATGCATTGTTTGAGTGACTGTGAAGTGGGATTGATGTTGATAAGCATGGTTAAATCTTAATGAATATCTCTCACCTTGTTGCATTCTAGAATCTCTAAGTTGGACATTTAGCAAATCGCTTTTGAGGACATGTTTTTAAGTGTTGAATCAACTTGTTTTCAAACCTCATCTCTTTCTTGTTCTATTTGTTTGCTTGAGGGCAAGCAAAGTTCAAGTTTGGGGGTGTTGATGTACTTGCATTTTACATAGTTTTAGTACATCTTTTATGCATCTTTTGCATAGTTTTAGCATCCATTAGCATCATATCTTGTTCCTTTTCTCTTCTTATGCATTCATGTAGTTTTAGGTTGCATTTGCATACATATGCATGTTTGGTCCTTTGAAATAGGTCTTTTGGAGCATTCTGGAGCATATGGGACGTGAGGAGCATGGAGGACTTGGCATGGACGCAGCTCAACTGGATACGCAAAGGAAGAAGGAGGAAGCCATCTTGAAGACCAGCTCGACCACCTACTCGACCGGCCAAGCTTCAACTCGATCGAGCTGAGAAGTCAAAGTCAAACCCGAAAAATGTTGCTTCCCCCTTGACTTTCCTTTGACCCTAAACCTAATCCTCTTGTATTTAAAGGCTAAAAGCCACGAAAAAACCACCAAGCTTTAGATTACTTTTGTTTTAGTTTTTTTAATTTATTGTCTTTTACTTTTTAGAACTCTAATCCATCTTTGTGTTCTTGAAGCTCTTGCTTCTTGAATCCTAGATCCTGGATAATCTCTTTGTATTTGCACTTGCTTATTTCAATAAAAGTTGTTTATCTTTCATCTCCTCTTTCTTATGATGTCTCTTTTATTGCATTTGCTTGTGTTTACATTCATGTGTAGTGAGTAGTTACCCATTAGGGTTTGAGATGGGATAGATTAGAGGTTTCATATGCTTAATCCTTCTTGCTTATGGTCTTAATCTAGATTCTCTCTCTTTTGGATAATCTTAAGGCTACATGACCACTACCCCTGGCTTGTATGTCCTTAGGCGATTCTCCACATGGAAGTGATGGAAATCGCTGGAAAAGATCCACTAAGAGCTCCAATATCTCTTGCTCTAGAAATGAGGTCTAGGGGTTGGATGGATTAGTTTGGGCAATGATCCTATGGCCTCCAAGGTTTGATTCTCACTGGCTAACCCCCTGTTTCTGAGATCATTCCTTGGTTGATAGCCTTCACCTTGGGAAAGGGTTGCTAGGCATTGAGAAGCCCAATATCAAGAGAAGCCTTGATACAAGGAGTTTTAAGAGCAGATCGATTAAGTGTAGCTTCCCTGATTGCAAAACCCTGTCTTGAACCCTAATTCTCGCATTAGCTTGTTAAAGTCGCTGCCTTTATTGCTTTTTACTTCAACTCGACCCTAAACTCGATCGAGCTCGGTACTCTGTTCCACTCGACTCGAGTCCTTGGTCGAGCTACTTGCTTTACTGTTTTTGGTTCACTGTTTTTACTTAATGAATGTTAAAGGGATTTGCTGATTTGAATGCATTGTTTGAGTGACTGTGAAGTGGGATTGATGTTGATGCAGGAAGATAATTGGAAATATTCCAAATATTTATATTAATTATTTTATCATTTAAATTAATTATTATTATTATTTTAGGGTTCTATGGTTTTCTTATATATAGCCGTTTAGGCTTTTGTATTATGAAGTTGTTGATTATTAATAAAAAAGCTTAGGCTTTGAGAGAAGAGTATTCTCTGTCCTTGTTTTCGGTAGATCTATTGAGATCTCAACGAGTTCAAGAAGCAGTTCCCAAGCGAGAATTCTATTGAATTCCTTGTTTGAGCTGACATGTCCCGATTGATTCCTTTGAATCATAGGTTGAGCTGTGTTTATCGTAGCTTCCGCTACATCAGATGTTGATAAGCATGGTTAAAATCTTAATGAATATCTCTCACCTTGTTGCATTCTAGAATCTCTAAGTTGGACATTTAGCAAATCGCTTTTGAGGACATGTTTTTAAGTGTTGAATCAACTTGTTTTCAAACGTCATCTCTTTCTTGTTCTATTTTTTTTGCTTGAGGGCAAGCAAAGGTTAAGTTTGGGGGTCTTGATGTACTTGCATTTTACATAGTTTTAGTACATCTTTTATGCATCTTTTGCATAGTTTTAGCATCCATTAGCATCATATCTTGTTCCTTTTCTCTCTTATGCATTCATGGTAGTTTTAGGTTGCATTTGCATACATATGCATGTTTGGTCCTTTGAAATAGGTCTTTTGGAGCATTTTGGAGCATATGGGACGTGAGGAGCAAGGAAGGACTTGGTGCATGGACGCAGCTCAACTGGATACGCAAAGGAGAAGGAGGAAGCCACCTTGAAGACCAGCTAACACCTACTCGACCGGCCAAGTTCAACTCGATCGAGCTTAGAAGTCAAAGTCAAACCCGAAAAATGTTGCTTCCCCCTTGACTTGCCTTTGACCCTAAACCTAAATCCTCTTGTATTTAAAGGCTAAAAGCCACGAAAAAACCACCAAGCTTTAGTTTAATTTTGTTTTAGCTTTCTTTTAATTTATTGTCTTTACTTTTTGCAAACCCTAGCCACTCTTTGTGTTCTTGAGCTCTTGCTCTTGAATCCTAGATCTTGGCTCTATCTTTCTGTATTTGCATTTTGCTATTTCAATAAAAGTTGTTTATCTTCATCTCCTCTTTCATACTATGTCTTCTTCATTGCATTTTCTTGTGTTTACATTTATGTGTAGTGAGTAGTTACCCATTAGGGTTTGAGATGGAATAGATTAGGGGTTTCATATGCTTAATCCTTCTTGCTTATGGTCTTAATCTAGATTCTCTCTCTTTTGGATAAATCTTAAGGCTACATGACCACTACCCCTGGCTTGTAAGTCCTTAGGCGACTCCCCACACGAAAGTGATGGCATTCGCTGGAAAAGATCCACTAAGAGCTCCAATATCTCTTGCTCTAGACAAGAGTTGAGGAACTCGACCGGATGGTCGAGTAGGTGGTCGAGCTGGTCTTCAAGATGGCTTCCTCCTTTTTCCTTTGCGTATCCAGTTGAGCTGCGTCCATGCACCAAGTCCTTCCTTGCTCCTCACGTCCCATATGCTCCAAAATGCTCCAAAAGACCTATTTCAAAGGACCAAACATGCATATGTATGCAAATGCAACCTAAAACTACTATGAATGCACAAGAAGGGAAAGGGAACAAGATATGATGCTAATGGATGCTAAAACTATGCAAAAGATGCATAAAAGATGTCCTAAAACTATGTAAAATGCAAGTACATCAAGAGTCCAACAAGAGAAGATGATTGGGCACTTGTAAGTTTTGTTGGAGAACAAGTCCAAGACCCAAGAAAGTACAAGAAGGCAATGGAGAGGTGAACATCGAACCTTGTGTGAAGATAGACACCCAACCCTTGATCTTCTCAAGATAAGAGATGATGTCACATGGTATCTAAGGAAGCTTGGCTTGAGCAAGCTCTTCAAGATAGAGTGCAGCGAGTACTCATGCTCACCAAGGAGTTCCTCTCCACAGTAGCTCTTGCCTTCCCCAACAACAATGGAGACCAACCAGCTGGTGATGGACTCCTATTCTTCAAGATAGGCACCAATGGGCGCATCTCCATCTCAGCTCTATGCCAACTCTTTGGACTTCCAAATGAGACAGCCATGACTTCAAGGAGAACTCAAAGAGGAAACAAGCTGCCTTTAATGATTGGACACACTTTGCCAATGAACCATTCTTGCCTTCAAGATCAAAGGTGTCTAGAATCACTCATCCAGCCATTCGCTATGTGCACCGCCTCATCTCCACCACTTTCCAATGCAAACAAGAAGCCAACAAGGTCACAACTGATGAGTTCTACATCCTCACCACACCATTCATCAAGCATGAGTACAAGGCCAACCTTGGCCTTTGCTTGCCAAGACACTCATCAATGTGAGGAATCTAGCTCAAGACTTGGAAGGCAACAAGAAGCTTTGTGTGCGCTTTGGGAGACTCATCACGGCCATAGTGCAACATGTGGGGATTGACATTCCTAACTATGAGCCACTACCCAAGCCAATCCCTTTGGATCTCCATGCTCTTCAGCAAATACACTTCCTAAACCGTTGGACTCAAAACCCAACTAAGTTTTGCTATAAGTTTCCAATTGGACCAACCAACACTTCGCTTGTCTTGTTGCCACATGAGGATATCCCAAGCCTACGCTCTGGTGTTGTCAGTTTCCAACTGATCGGCGGATCAGGTCCCCTTTCCTATCCCTGATTCTGCAAGTGCACAGGTCAGAAGTAGTAAACGGGTATCGAACACAAGGACCAGATTGCACACTACAAGTTATGAGTTTGAGAACAAGCTAGGGCAAAAGTATAAGTTGGTTGAGTGCAGAGAAAGTAAAGCATGCAAGTAATAAAGAAAGTGAGAATTCAATAGGAGAGAAAGGCTAAGCAATAGGATAGTCTTGAGATAAGCAATTCAAGAAGCATGAAATCAATCAATTAGGGTTACCGCACTTAGGTGCTAATCTAGAACTTGAAACACTATGGTATGATCATTCCACTGTCGAGGCTCCGACCCCTTTGTTAATCTACCTAGTCGCTAAACTTTTGGTATGTCCCTAGGTGATTAAATCAAGCATTAGTTCGATCAAGATCAATTGTTCACAACCTACAAGTAGATCAACTGTCGCAGTCTAAAAGAGATTGCCCACCAAATACTAGTTCAGGCGAATGATACAGCACTGTCGAGGCTCAAATCAACCTAAAGGCATATGCTAATTGGCCAGATTAACAACAAGCATTAAGTATAAGCAAAGATGGAGATTATAAGTAAAACCCTAATTGTGATCAATCATCAAGCATACATGAATGCTATCCTTTGACTTCCTATCACTTAACAAGTAAACTACTCAGACATAGAGAAGGAAACGAATTCATATTCATAAGAACAGAGATTCGAATCCTCTCTAGAAAGAGTAACAAGCAAGAACAAAGTAAAAGCAAGCAAAACTTTATTAAGATGTAAAATAGATTGTGGTCTCTCTCCTTCTTGAGTTACAAGGCTAAAAAGAAGTATTTATAATGCTCTAAGTATGAAGGACGGCTAAACCTAATCTAGCTAGGTCGGCGCCGGCTTTGGGCTTGAATTGTGCGGATTGGGACGGTCGGCCGGACAGTCGGGTCTTTGGCCGAGTCGGAACGGTCGGGGCCGGATGTTTAACGGTCGGCCGAGTCGGAACGGTCGTGGCCGGATGATTTCGGTCGGCCGGCTGTGGTCGGACGGATAAGATTTGGCCGATGGTCTTGGCCGGACGTGGGCATAGTTCCCCGGCTCGGACGGAGTGCATCGCGGTACGCGAGGGAGTTGCGCGGCCGCGAGGCGTTTCCCGGCTCGCGCGCTGGTCGTGCGCGGCTTGTGGCGTGGCGTTGGCCGACCGCGGGACTTGAGTTTCCCGGGTCGTGTGCGTGATCGGCCGAGGGTTGGACTTTGGCCGAGACATTCAGTCGGACGGAATACGTTTTGGCCGAGCGCGGAACATGCGTTCCTCGGCCAGCCGGACTGCGCGTTCGGGCGCTGATTCTCGATATGGCCGTCTGGAGCAGTCTTCACTCTTTTGGCTATAACTCCTTTTCTACTCATCCAAATGAGCCATTCCAATTGCGTTGGAAAGTTAACTCAATCAGAGCACGCAGGGAACTGGTCTTGATGAAATCCATTGAGTAGATCTTTTTCTAGCTCCATCCAAAGTTGATGCAGGGCATTGAACTGGTTTGAGTCCAAATCTCTGTTTTGCTCCATAATGCACCTTTTTACCTAAAATGACTCTTTGCACTATAAATCCATAAAAACTACCTTTTAACACAAGAATCCACTAGAAAACCATTAGAAAACCATAGTAAAATAGCATAAAAAGTAGGTAAAATAGAGGTATATCACCAACCCAAGGAGGAAGACTTCTACATCCCATCAAGAGAGAAACCATCACTTCCCATCCTCACCTACCGCACACTTCAGCGCACAGTCAAAGCTCAACGCCGCCACCAAGAACTCCATGTTCTCAGAACTGGGATGGCAGAAAACCAAGCCCTAGACCGTGTCAGCCAATTGGAGAAGGTTGTGGAGTGCAAATCACACTTCATCTCGCGCCTATTTCGCGTAGTTCGGTGAGAGACTCTTTCGCCCTTCTCTCACTGCTAGAGAACCATATGAGCCTGACCTTGGTGAGTTCTCACTAGACTCAGAGCTTGGTTCAGAAGGCGATGAACCCATAGAAGAGGAGGAGAGTTCTTCTCACCACCACACCTAGTCATCTCAAGTGGTACTTAGTGCAATGGACACTTACAAATCTCCATTTTCTATCCCTATCTCATTTTAATGAATTTCTTTTTATTTCTTTCATTTTGAATATTACCTCTCACCTTAATGTGATTTGCTTCACCGGGACGGTGCAAGTTAAGTCTGGGGGAGTTTTATTGTGCACTAATGCATTTTTCTTTCTTTTCTTATGACTTTTGTTTTCATGTTTTCTTGTTTTATTGAGTCAAAACCAGTCCGGAAATTATGAACTTGCTTTGAGAATTGACAGTGTTGTGCTAACAATCCATGACCCTAGAGCAGACATCAGCTAAAGGCACAAGCCTAACAGAAGCTCTAACAAGGGATCAACATGCTAGCTCAGCGAAATTTCTAAGGTAACCAAGCAATCTAAAGTTAACCTCATCCTTAATCAATCTTAATAACTCTTGTCAAGGGGATTGGCATACATGTCGACAGTTCCTTGCTTGATTTTC